TATTCGAAAACACTAACGTCAAAAAAGAAGTGTACATTAAATATAAATTTCGAAGATATTTTGTGTACATTTTATGTCTAACAACTTGATTAATTATTATTCAGTGTAACATCTGTTCTTGAGATGTTGAATGCAAAACAGACATTATGTTAACAATAATTCAAGGCTTATCATCAACATAACTTATATACCTAATGTATGTACTTATACGTAGATACACAGAGAATTTAATATAATCTATCCTATGTGAGCTTTACTTTTACTTTAGGTACTATGCATAAAAAATATAAGATGATAATTTGCGTATAAAATCATTTTACGTTAGCCGTAATAAGTTCGACAAATATTCACGAAGACGTCTGGAATTCCTAATACGCTCTACCGAAAATGTCGATGAGCGCAGAGTTAAACATATTTTTACAAACAAGCTACAGTAGGTCTAAAAAGTATTTGTACACCTATTTTTTTGCAATAACTTTATACAGACAAGAGTTATGCAAACAAAACTTTTTTCAATTAATAGTCTGTGAACAGCAATTATGTGCAAATTACGAATTATCAATGATGCATAACACAAAAATACTTAGAGAATATAGGAGCCAACAAAGTATTAACACACTTTTGATTTTACTGATAAATTTTGTAAGTATGTACGCATTATCGCGATACTGACTAAAATATAAACAACTGTCTATTCTGGGCCAGTACATCTTCCAACTGTGTGCAGGAATCATGCCAACGAAGAAAAGAAAATTATCAATATTATTCTTCTTCGGAAATGTGAGACAGTTATAGAAACATTGGTAAAAAACTAAATATGAAAAAGTATAAAAAAGAGAAAATTACAAAAAATAAGCCATGAATAGATCGATCGATGGTATTCATAATTAAACGTCGGACAGAGACGGGCAATATCTAAATAAAATTGTCGAATATCAAATATCGCATAGAATATAACAAATTTGTATCTATTATTAGTCGAATAATATCTTTATCTTTATTCATAAATCAAAATATTTACGTTGAATAAAGATTAAGTATCTTTATTCCATTTTTATTTAAATAACCTTATATCTAGATAATGCCCATCTCTGACGTCGGAGTATAATTTAAGAGACAACAAAAAATTAATTTGTAAGTGCTCGAACATTTTGCAACGAAATCACGTCAACATCAAGGAAGATTGTGTGCTCCAAAATGTCAAAAAACATTTTGCATTTTGCAGAAATGTATGGCATAACTGCGACTTTTAGAAACCGGATTATCGTCTCAGATGAAAATAAGTTTCATCCTTTGCACTCGGTTCAGCAAACAACAAAAGTGAATGAACATAATTCATATGAACATAATTTATGAAAATAAACAAGGAAGTCTAAAATTATAACCTAGAAGATAGGAACTTTCAATGCATTTCAGTGACCGTTTCACACATTACCATTAATTAGAACAGTATCAAATGATATAGAATAGTACAACATTTTGATTTTTGGCATATATATGGTTCTCAATGTCTAAAGATTCATAGGTCAAGTACTATTTCAATAAATGTCATGCTTTTCAAGTTAGATTGTTTAGAACGACGTGATTCTTGTTTACACATGCTGAAACGAAATGGCCCGACTGCAAAGGGTAAATATTTTTGGCTCGTTGTCAAATGGAAAGAACTTCGTGTAAAAGAAACCCAATACTGAGCTACAACTAAAGAATTGTACATCAATTTTGAAACACGGCGATGTGGAAAATATATTGATATGTTACGTAATAATTTACAAGAATGTGCAGCCGAATCGTGTCTGAATGAAAATTATTATTCTCAACGAGACAACGACCCGAAGCACACCGGTAAGAAAACGAAGAAGTGGTTATCGTATAATATTTCCAAGCAATTAATTACACCATCACAGTCTTCGGATATTAATCCGATAGAATATTTATAATCTATTAGACATGGATTTACGAATGATACGAGAAGAATAGCAAAAAAAATTAAAAGATGCAACCCAGAAAGTGACGAAGATCTATGGCAAGATTAGAAGCCATTATTAAAGGTAAAAGGTAGTACATACTAAATATTAGTTATAATTTTATTGCGAACGTTTATACAAATTTATATTTGTATATACACAAATGAAGAACAGAAACGTAAGTCAAAGTGTACTGTTTTCGAAATTTGGTAATGTGTATTTCAATTTCTTACATTTAATATATCTGTACACAATGTACACATCCTCGTATATTTTTGTATATTTACATTTGTGACAAATGCATAAGTATTCTCAATCTCATAATACTTATATTAAAGTAAAGTATGTTTTGTCTTCTAAATGTTATAATATTATTGTAATTTTATTTTTTATACATTTATGTATTTGTATACATCCTTGTATATTTAACTTCCCGATTTATAGGGAAGTTATTGTATTTGCCCCTAAAATGAAAAATCGATTTTTTAGCAGATCTCCATGTTTCAAGGTCATTGGAGTAATTTTAGCCTATTTTTAACAAATTGTGCGCGCGCGCGCGCACGTGTGTTGATGTATGTACGTATGTAAACAAATTTTTCGTTAGCGTTTCCAAAAAAAAAAAAAAAAAAAAAAAACTAATAGCGAGATATAAATGATCGATGATGCAATCGATGTGTATCGATCTAACTTAGAGCTGATTTTTTATAAGAAATCTTAACTCAATAACGTAACCTAGTTTTGTATGTTTACACTTCTCATAGATCCATAAATATCCGCATTCCAGTTATAATGCACAAATAAGAAAATGATAAGCTTTCTACTATAATTGTAAGTGTACGAGTACTCATTTTACTTCAAAATTCTCCTATTTCTTGGATTATCTTTGTGTTACGAATTATTAAAACTTCTTACTTTGCACGTAATCGTTGTTCGTTGCAGACAATTAATCGAAAGTTTTCGTTTGCGAATCGTTTGTTTGCATGGAGTTATTGCAAATAAACTAGCAGTACAAATACATTTTTTTCGATATCTCATATAACAAATTCACCGATTCTTTTCTTGAGTATTTGTCACGAACGTGCGGCGTTATCTGTCCGTTTTATTCTGCAACATACGCTTGGCAATTGAATTGTTCCAACATACCAAGCCTCGGGTCAGTCCCATCGCTATACGTTGGAAAGTAAGGCCAGGCGCACGCCCATCCGGTAGGCCAATCAGCGACCGCGACGTCATCTCGTACGATGTAACGGAGAGACTCACCCACGTGGTAAGCGACGCACTATTTTAGTATCGCATCGCGAGAAAATCTGATCGCATTCTGTTGTTCTCGAACGACTATTCTAGAATCTTTCAACGCGATCTGTTATTCGTCTGCGATGACGACTTGTTCCCTCATAGAAAAAAGTAGAAAAACAATGTTTTCTGACGGCGTAACGCAGTACCATTGATGCCGATAAATGAACGAAGTAACAACATGTAGCAACGTATGCGAGTTGGAAAAACCGTAACCACAACGATTGCAATTACTATGTAATAAAAAACATGAATAATAGTGATTATTACTAAAGAATCCGAAATCATAACTGACGAATGGTACAAGTAATCGAAGCGAATGTAATCGTCAGACGTAATTAACTCCAAATTACGAGATGAATACACCTTTTACTATGATTAAATCGACAAGTATAATTTGTTTTTAGTGCAAGAACATTAAACATTTCATGTGACGAAAATTGATTAAAATAAATATTAATATATATTATTATTTTACTATGTTCATTTAAATGAATCTTTATCGGATTAAACCAATGTATTCTTCATTTGCAAATAAAATGTCAGTGATATTGAATCGAGTAACGTTATCCTTAGTCGTTAAATAACCTAGCAGAAATTTTGTTACATAAATTTCTATTTTTAATATCACTTGTTTCTAAAAATATTTCTACGATTTTGAATACCTATTTGTCCCCAAACAATAACGCTACTACATCCAAATTATTTCATGGAATAAAATACTCGTCAAAAAGATATCTTGTTTCATACAGTTTTTTAAGTAAAATTATTTTAGAAGTATGCATGCCTGGACTGCATTACTGGCTCTAATCGAAACTGAAGTAACCTTTCATCGAGTAATTATAAAATGCTAATTTATGATTGTACATCGCAAATGCAGTTTGTGACCGCTGATTAATTGTAATCAGCACGATTACTTTTCTTTAGGTTAACGTTATTACAAGGTAATCGATAAATACCGAACTCCTAAACATACGGCGTGACATCGATTACAATTCGTCGCAAACGAGTCCCGTGTTCCGTTCAATTCATCAATTGAAAACAAAATCGAAAACAACGTTGATCAGATTATTTGCGACGGTTCTCCTTTGACGAGGAGTTTCATTGGTTACGATCGGTTTTCAAAACAAATGAAACACCAGAGAACAGGTCGTGGGACGCAAGACGTAATATTGAAATCGTTGGCATACGCGATAGTCACCACGATGTTGAAACTCCTAAACTGGATTGTTTACGTCTTACGGAGTCGGGCACGAGATACATCTGATTGAATGAAAACAAGGCCAAACGAATACTGTGTAGGTCAGTTAATCGTTAGTCATCCAAATACTACACAAAATGAAAATAGAGCTACGAATTCATCGAGTCCACTTATCTCACGCAATTCAACGGTTAGGTATTAAAAACACAAGTGCACAACGCGCCAGAAATAGACCGAAAACTGCTAAAGATAGAACCCTCGTTGCCTACCTACCAGCATTCGCCTAGCATTTCGAACGTTGCGTTCGAAAGGAGGAATCTAACCTCTAAATATCACTTTCGTTCCGTAGAAATTGTCATTGCAGATCACTTCCATTTTCGATACAATACCAAACATCACAGGGTTAATTTTCCCAACGTACATTCTTGGAATGCACTTCGTAGCACAAACTACAAATAACGTTTTCTTAACAAACGAATTGGATACTTTGAAAACCACGCGGAAAACTACGAGGACGTTTAAAACAAAATAAAATTACTCACAAGAATAGAACGCAGTCACAAGCAGGGCAAGCCAGGACAGCTGTTTCTCCACAAGATTTCTCATTTCTAGAGTCCGTCGACGAAGTCTTTCACAGATTCCCCCTTCACTAGACGAATCGCGGATGCGAAATGCGATCACGCACTAAGTAATTGGTTTGTTTTTTAAACGCGAACACGCGTTCGTCGCGTCCAAAGTGACCGTGTGCTTCCTTGAAAGAAGAGTAGAAAGCAATGAACGTGTGTGTCACACGCACGTTTCTCTACGGCCTACGCGATGAAGAGTTTTAACTCACGACCAGTCAACGTAATCGTTCCATACGATCCGTACTACGCGACCGGCTGTGCACGACTGACTCATGGGAATGCGTTTTGGCGGTAGGAAGCAGTAGGAAGCTTTAGAGGCGTGCGCCGAGTGCGCGTGCGCGGATCGCTCACGCCACCGACTTGTTTGGTGGGGCGCGAGACAGCCTTCTTTCTCTTTCGCCATATCTTTGATGTTTTCTCTATTACGCTGTCTTTACCGAACACCATGCTGGCGCCGGTATCATTACGGCTTTCGTTGAAGCTGCTTGAAGCAACGTGCAAGATCATTAACTGAAAGCCTTCTCTGGAACAACGACTACCGAGACCTTACATACCTTTTGCGAATGGAATTTAATTACGAGCAGAGTTTCATTATCAATGAACAATACGGTACTGGTAATTAGCGGATTTAGGCGAAGTAACGACACGCCTGATTATCGTGCGATGGAGCGAGTACCCGTCGATCGCACAGTCAGATGAATCGCATGGAATATGCAGCGTTTCTCATACCTCGCCGTTTCGCAAATTCCTTTTGCTTACGATTCAGTGTTTCTCAAATTTCACCTCTCCGCAGGCTGCAAGTAGAATTAAATTTGTTATTTGTAGACTGCGGAAGTTTATACACGATAAATATGTAACATGCAAGATATGCAAAATATGCATGAAAAATATCCAAGATATGCACGACAAATTTGACTAAAATTTAGTATAATACGTAATATATTAGTATGTTACAGAATATTCGCTATGTACACATATATAAAATACTTTTCACAATTATTCTGGTATATTATAACTCGCGTGACAATAAATTATGAGCATTTTTTCCAAGTTTAATGGTGTTAGTTGGTGGCGTTTGTCTGTAAAAATTAATTTACACGCGGAGAACGATCGCTCTACGTCACACGAAGTAATCGGTGCGTATTTAAATTTAGAACAACATTGTTCCGGCACACTTATTGGTCCTTGAATTCCCTCGTTATTTAAAATATTAGAAATTTTCGATAATGTAGAAAATCCTTCTTTTACATTTTTTTTCTAATCTTTTCACCGCAATCACCAGGAATACTTTTTAGATGTATTATACTATTTATACGTTCCTCTGTTTCCAATGAATTATCAGTTTCTTCGATTTTCCTCTGATGTGTGATGTGTGTGAAGTTAGCCCCGCACTTTTCGAATTTTTGATTTTTTTAAATTGTGCTACATTGTGCTACGCTTGTGCCGAATTGTGCCGTAAACCGCAACTCTGTAAGTCAAAGCGCGTACTCAAGAAAATAGTATTGTGTTATATTTGTGCTGAATTGTGCCGTAAATAAGAGATGTATAACATCAATAACAATTAAGAAAAGAAATGAAACCAAAATTATACTAGCTCCGCACTTTTGCCGAAACAAACTTTTTTCTATAGGAAGATGCGTTCTAACTTGTGCTACATTGTACCATTGATAGAAACTCGATATCTGTATTCGTTTCGCGGATAAGAAATGTTGAATTTTAAGGAATAACAAATTTAATATTCGGACAAATTGCGAACGGCGACAGATAATCGAATTTTGCAAGTGGTGTTAAATTGTGCTACTTGCAATACACGAGACACGTGCGTTCAAAATTGAGATTACCTCGAGGGTCAATAAAAATTAACAAAAAAAGGTGAGGGTGATTACAAATTTTGATATTTATGAGTTTTCTTTGATTGTGCCGGATTGTGCTAGACTACCACAACAACTTTTCCTAATTACAAAATCTCGTCAGATCGCCAAATTTCGCAGCGTTGGCAAAAGTTAGGAATCGGAATATTTGGCGAATACGTATATTGAAAACGTGTATTTCTCAACTGTAATGAATGGTTATATAAGAAAATATATTTTGTAATAGTTTTAATATGTGATACCGATAAATAATATATGCATTATAGGATTGGGTTTGAGAGTTGTGCAAAAGACAACACGTGTTATACACTAAAAGTTTAATGATAAAACAATGGAGTCTAATATATCGGTAATTACTATATCCGCACACTTTGGAAATCTAAACACGACATAATTGGGAACATGTTTACTTGTAACAACTTATTACGTATCAACAGTAACTAAAAAAAGATGCATGGTAAATACAACACAAATTATATCATGTTTCGTCTCATTTTATTCAGAAAGATAAATCTGTTGATAAAAATTTCATACTTGCGTTAGTATTGCCTCGTTCCTTCCTCTTTTGTTATTCACCGTTCTTAATACGTTCGAAGCTGCCGACAAAGATCCAATAATGTGGGAACTCTATGATAAATGCACACTTTTAGTTCTGAAGTTAGTACGCATCTTTTTATAGAAAAAACAGTTTGTTTCGACAAAAGTACGGGGCTAGTATAATTTTGGTTTTATTTCTTTTCTTAATTGTTATTGATGTTATCGATCTCTCATTTACGGCACAATTCAGCACAAATATAGCACAATGTAGCACAATTTAAAAAAATCAAAAATTCGAAAAGTGCGAGGGTAACTTCACACACATTTATGTGTGCCGGTATTTATGTGTTGATTTAAATGCGATTTCCTTTCACACTTCACATTTTTATTCCAAATTTTGCAATGAATACTTCTGTCACCGTTATCATAATTGTCGTTATCGTTAATAACAAAATTGGAATCGTTTTTTATCCAATTTACCATTAATGCTTTTCTACTTTTTTTTTAACTTCTAGCGTTTTTAGAGAATTAAAAGGCACTTAAATATATTCACTTCTTCACAGAGATCATATTAACTGCGATAATTGAACCGAAGTATTTGAATTCGAAATACAAACTGTCACACCTAACGGTCGATTAGCAACACAAGGTTACAGAAATATGGTATCATATGGCCTGTATTTGTGTAAACACTACACAATTATGATACGAAAGTATGGTGATAGACGAAACTAATTTGTCGAGATCGATATTTCACATAAGCACGATAAATAACATATGCAATATATGTATTATTGGATATGTTTTTAAATTCAAATGTGCAAAATATGCAACATAAAAAATATATTTTTATAGCACTCTAATTTGAAAACAAATTTCTGTCTACGTCCCATTCTTTTAACTATTTCCTATAAAAATATGCATTTGCATAAACTTCTGCAGTCTAGTCATTTGTAGATATAATTGAATACTTTTTTTTTAAATTAAAGTCGAGATCATTATCGCATTTAGGCTAAATGGCGACATGCCTTTATTGTGCGATGGAACACGTGCTTTCGATCGCACTATCATAAAACTCACCTTTCAACAGACATTTGCGATAAAGAGGAATCTTTGGCGTTTCGACGAACTACCCACACGGTAGAATTAAATTTTTCATTTTTGAATGTAATCGAATACTATTTCTTAAAAAACTAAATTTTGGTTAAATTTTTACTAGAACAATCTTCGAATTTGTGTAAAACTATGACGTCTAATTTCATTGAATAGTGTTTAAAAAACCATCACGGGATTTTCAGATAAAGGTCACCCGCAAAAAATTAATTACTACTGTTCACAAGAGCAGTATCGGAAAATGGTAAAATAGAAAATATTTACAAAATTATAAAAATAATCATACAAACCAAAATTTGATGAAATTAAATATCCTGAAATAACATATGAACTTGAAGTTTTCTTAAACGAAAAGAGAAATTTTCAAAAAGATATCATCAATAGTGTTTAAACAAAATGATGATAAAAAAACGCCATTTTGTTAGTATTATAGATTATCAGCACCCTATGATAAGAATAAACTATTATGCGAAGTATGTTCCTTATTCCCCGATACAGCATGCTTTTTCTTTTCAGGAGAGATTGCATCTGTTTAAGAAACACTGGAATATTGCATCGATATCCCGTTGGATAAATCATAATTAGGTAGACGAATTAATTCTATTTCATTCCTTATTCACGATTAATGAATAATTCATTTTGTTAGCGAATCCCGTTATTGATTTATACATAGCGGGAGTAGAATGAGTGATAAACAAACGATAATAAATTTCTAGTTCATCCATAGCGTTGAAAACAAAATATATCGTTATGTTACTGTTTGGAAAAATAAATCAAATTGTTGTAAGTTTTAAAGTCGATAAGATAAATAGTTAAAAAATTATTGATTTTAGATTATCATTTTCTTCAATAATATGTTATTCGAAGACAAGTACGAATTAAATTTGTTTGTACCGTTATTCTCAAATACTAAATAATCCACTTTATTAGTAAATCGATGTTTTGATTTATAAATACTGGGAAGCGTTTACAAATACCAAGTAATACATAAGTAGGAGATAATAAGTGGTGTAATAATATTCTAGTTTGTAAATAAAATCTTAATACTAATAAGTAATAAATAAAAATATTGACTGAATGAAATCTTAGAAATTGATAAATAACCAGTACGAAAATAATTTTAGTATACTACTTTTAATTCAACGACTATCTTCATGAAAAAACAAGTGTAATATAATGCTATAAAATATTACTGTTATTGTATTTACTGAATATCTTGTTTGTAAGTAAATAGTACTATCCATGCTTACTAATGAATAATATATTTTTGAAAAAATAAAAAGAGAAGCAGTAAACCTTTAACAAACTTTCTTTTATCACTTGCACATCACTTTTAACAGACTTTCCGATTAATTCGCCAAAATAGATGGAATCTCGACAATTCGCAACCGTCACATGTAAAACGCTACCCAGATTTTTCACATATCTATATAACAAAAATAATTAATTCCTTTAGTATGAAGTAGCTGCAACCGAGAAATAAAAACTAGTATTAACTAGTATCGTTTAGTATTAAAGTACACAAATAAATACATCACGGAAAGTTAAATAATTTTAAGCATTGAAGAAGACATTTTGATCGTTGAAAATCTTGTATTTGAATTTGAATTTGTATGGAATGTGAATAAATCGTCACTTTTACAAAAAAGTTTTGTTTAGGAATGCATCAAAAAGTAATATATTCTCTAGTTGACATCTTTTTAGATAAGATCAGTATTCTTCGCGTAGCATTGACGCATT